GGGCGGGCGGGGGGTATCCGAGGCCTGGGCGCCGCCGGGCCGCTCCGCCCCGTCCCGGCTCCACCCTCCCCTGGCGCGTCCCATCCCGGAGTCCAGGCCGGGTTTGCCGAGGCGCCGGCGGAGAGTGGCGGAGCGGAGATTTCGGGCGGAGACGCGAGGGAAAGTTTGCGGGGCTCGCCTCTGCCACTGCGCTCGGCCGGCGTGAGGAGGTCCCGGCGGCGCGGCTCCCCCGGCGGATGAGGTGGAGGTGCCCAGAGCCGCAGCAGGAGCAGCATCCCGCGGGAGGCCGAGGGGGCGTCCGCCGAGCGCGCAGGGGCCAGCACCGGCGGGAGGACTCGAACCCGCGCCTCCGAGGGCTGCAGATGGGAGACGCCGAGGCTCGGAGGGCCCCGGGCGGCCGCGGGACTGGGCGCTGCTGCTGCCGCTGCCTGGCGCTGCTCATCGCCGCCGCGGCGCTTCTGGGCGTAAGTGGGGCGGCACCGGCGCGGGGAAGGGCCGCTGGCGCCCCCCCCCACCCACCCCGAGGGGGCCAGCCTGCTCCTGCTCCGGGGCTTTGGAGAGGGGCCGGGGGTGGGGTGGGGTGGGGACCCTGCCGCCGTCGTCTCTTCGTGCCCACGGGCAGCGCTCGGCGGCGACTGGGGGCGGTTGTGCGCGCTTCTCAGGGCGTCTAATTTTAAACGTGGGACTTAGAGGCAGGCTATTCATGGCGCGGCTGGCGTCGGCGGGCTGCCTGCCGGAGGCCAGCCGGCTGGGCACGCTTGTTGCGCCACGTCCCGGGCGGAGCGGGGACCGTCGCCTGGGCGGGACGGAGGAGGAGAGCGGGCCGGCAGGTCCCCCGGCGGCCGGGCGGGGGGCGGGAGGAGGGCCGAGCCTCTCTCGCCATCGTGGCCGGCCAAATGTAAAAGCGGACGGCTGGCTGGCCTCGTAAAAATAGCTGCCCTGGCAGAAAAGGAAGGGCCCGGCGCCTCCCCTCCCCTCCCCTCCCCCGGGGGCGCCGCTTGCTTGCCCCTTGGAGCTGCGCCCTGGCCCGGCCGCCCGGCGAGAGCGGAGGAGGAGGAGGAGGAGGGCTGGCAGTCGTGCGCTGTGTCGCAGCCCCGGCAGCGGGGAAGCTTCGCTGGCTGAGGCGACCGTGCTGGCGCGAGGAAGCCGGTGTAGGCCGGGCGGATGCCTGCCTGCGCTTTCTGCTGGCCGGGCCGGGCGGAGAAAGGGGGGGGGGGAGAGAAGGGCCCTTTTATGGCCGCGAGCCTTCGAGGTGGCCGGGCCCTCCCGCGAGAGTCTCCGCCCGGGGGACCAGCAGCAGACCCTCCTTCTTGGCTGGTGCGGGTTGGTGACTTCGTAGTTTGGCCTCTGGGCCGGCCCTAGGTATCCTGTGGGGGTTCCGATGACACCTGGTGTCCCCTCCCAGATGGCCGGGCATGCTTCACCTGGAAAGCTGTGGGCTGCTTTGGAGCCCTGGAAGACTTGCCCACCAAAGGGCCGCATCAGCCTCCCTTGGTAGCCGGCGGCGCCCCTCGGTCGGTCCTCCTGCGTGGTGGCAGGATTCCGCTGAATCTGCCCTGGTTCCCCACACATGTGACCCCCACCTCTCTCAGCCTTCACCTCTGCCCCCCCCCCCCCGCTGTGAGGCCGGCACTCCCTGGGCCTGGCTTCCCACCCACACGGTCAGTGCTCCACACGATGTGCCTGTAACAATGGGCAGCTTTGTGCCTGGATTTGGAAGGGTTCTGGGGGAAAGAAGAAGGGGGGGAGGCCGACCAGCCGCTCCAGAGCCAGGCCCTTTCCTCGAGGGCGCATTCCTGGAGGCCCCCTGCGGCACGGCCACGCCCTTGGCAGGCTGGCAAGAGACTCTGTGCCTGGTGCCTCTGCCTGACCGAGGAAGCCCAGCTGGGGCCATGCAGCTGGGCTCTTGGAGGGAAGCGGACAAGGAAAGGGCTGGTGCCATGCTGGGAACGTGGCACAGGAGCCTCACGTTGGTGCTGGCTTGCTGGACACTGGCTGCAGTGTGCACCTCCGCCCTCAGGCCTGGTTGTGAGAAACCGCTTCACTCTGGGGTTTGTGGCGCAGGCGTCACTCCCCTCCCCCCCCAGTTCGCAGAGGGATTCAGAGATGGTGAGCCTCCTATAGGAGGACCGTAGTGGTCCTCGTGGCTTATTGGACCCCCGACACACTCTTTTCAGTTAGTTCTTTGGCTGCTCCTGAGGAGGAGTGGCTGCCCTTCTCTGGGATGTGGCGCTCGCTCCTTGGCCCTTGGCAAGGCCTCAGCCGCTCTGCCTGTCCTGGGCGTTGCAGAGAAGGGCTCCGAGTTGTGATCGGCTTTGGTATATGTGGCCAGAGGATGGGCAGGCATTGGCACCGTTCCCTGAGAGGAGTTATCTTTTGAGTGCCGCACTGGGGTGGCGTTTCCGGTGTGGAAGTGGCGATGAGAGAGCCCCCTCCTGAGACAGAGTGATCTCCTGCCTGATATTAGGTGGCCTTGGGTGGGGTTAGTTTCGTGTTTTGGGGGGCTGGCAAGGGGGACGCAGCAGAGGACCACGCGGTCTTGCCGCAGTCTGTGCTGGTCTGGGCCCTTGCCTGATGTGGCAGAGTTTGTCTTTGGCCCCCGGGGAGCCCCGAGGGAGGTGAAAGCGGCTGCCCCCCCCCCCCCCAAAAACACACCCTGACCCCCCAGGGGAGCTCTCTCTGTCCCACCCCATCCCTCATCCCTGCCCAGGTGGCGGCGGCGGCAGCTCTGTCATCCCCACTTTGTGTGGGGCCTGAGCAGCCGGGGATGGGTGGGGGGGTCTCTGTGCCCGGGCTGGAGGGAGAAGATCTGCCCTGAGAAATGAAGGCAGGGCTGAGCTGCAGGCCCAGCGGGAGGGTCACATTCCAGCCAGCAGCTGGAGGGGATGGCTGCTTCATCCCCCCACCCTCTTCCTGGCTGGCCCGTCCCCTCCTCCCACCTGCCCCGTGGTGCCTCCTACACTTGCCCCAGCTTGTTCTCTGGCCCCAGCCTGCCAGCCCCCCTCCTGTGGATTCTTGGGGAGGGTTTGGAGTCCCCTTTCCAGGGTGGGGAGAGGAAACGGGAGGTGTGGCAGAAATGTAAACATGGTGCTAAAAATAACCCCTTTGCTGCCACTGCAAGGCCAGCCCCCCCCCTCCTGGGGCAGGGCTTGTCTTGGGGTGCCACTCCCGGCCACCTGGTGGGCCCTCTTTCGGTGCTGGGGACCTAGAAAGTGTGGGGGCGGTGAGGGTGATGCGCTTGCTGGCCGGAGGGGCATTCTTCCAAAGGGTGAGAGGCTGTTGCTAAACCTAGCCTGTGAGGTCAGGGCACGGGGCTTTCACAAGGTGCCCCAGGGAGGGGGAAGAGTTGGGTTGACTGCCCCCCTTCCTGTTTTTAAGGAAGCCAATTCCAGGGCAGGAGGTACTTTTCCCAAATGAAGCTGACTTCTGGTAAGTCTCAGCTTGGAGGCGTGAGAGACTGAGGCAGGCAGGAGTGGCGGGGTAAGCAGGGAGATGGTGGGAAACCTGGCCTGGCATCCCGGCCAGTCTGACAGCCAGCTTGTTGTGCATGAGTGAGCCCAGCGGGGGTCCCACGGCACGGGAACAAACTGATTGGCACCAAGAAGCTCCTCTCCGCCTCCCTTGCCGGTGCTGGCCCCAGAAGCGGGGGGGGGGGAGTGGTGGTCCCAGATCTGTGGTGTTCACTAGTGAGGGCAAGGTCCTCTGCACACACTCAGAAGCGCTCAAATACTGTGTCTTCTAGAAGCTGGTGCTAGGGCCCAAAGTGGCCCTTGGGCAATGCTCCTGCTGTGGAGTCTTGTGAGCAAAAATTCTACTTTGTGAGCTCCTGGCATTAAAGTTGTGAGCGAGCGATGTGGCTACTGCATGAATCAAGTTTGCTCTGGAGCCCCATCCTTCCTGAGCTAAGACAAAAATCTGTGAGCTGGAGGCTAAAAAACTGAGCTAGCTGACACTCATTCAGCTTAGAGGGAACCCTGGTCTCAGGGCTGAGCCCGCCTTCCCTCCCTCCAACTAAAAGCCTTCTTCTGGGCCTTGTGTGGTCGCTGGTTGCTGCCATGCCACCTGCCAGGCGCTATTTTGGCTTTGGACCCTCCCCACCTCCACCTGCCCTGTTCTCTGCCCGCCAGTCCCTCCAGCTGCTGTTTCTCACAACCTCCCTCCATGGTTGCAGGGAGATCCATTAGCACAGCAGTGGGCAGAAGGCAACTCCAGGCCCACCACTGGACTGCTGGTCGAGGTCTGGAGGACCACCCAGCTCCTGCTGGATATCTCGCAAAGAACATAGGACTTGGTAGATCTTGGTCCAGCCTGGGAAGAAGGCAGACTCAGGAGGCGCCCCGAGCACAGTTTACTCATTCCTCGCGGATCCTGAGACGATGCTCCTGCTGTGTGGATTTAACACACCTCAGCGGGCTTCATGGATACCCATTTTCAAAAAATGGGGAAGAAGCGGACCATGCCAGACTGCCCGGTCGTGCGTTAGAGAATGCACCGTGGGATGCCACCGTTTAGCATCTGCAACAACGAGAGCTTTTGGGGCACAGCTTCTTTGTGCATGGGGCCAGCATGCTGCTTGGGGCTCCTTCTCCCATAGTTTTTCTTTTTCTTTTTTCGGGGAGGGGGTATGTTTCACCTCAAGAGGAAGAGCCAGCTCTCATCCCCCCCACCCCACCATGTCGAGAAGCTATACCTGGAGTTCTGTGCAGAGAGCCAGGAGTAAACCCAGAGGGTGCTCTATGCTTGGAATGGGTCTCTTTAGGGTGTGGCTTACGAAGGGAATGTGGAGGTGCTTCCCTTCTCAGTGATACAGGCTCGTGTGCTTTTCCTGCACATTCCTCAGGGCACCAGCGGTGGGGGTGCGCGCGCATGAAGAGTGACTTCTTCTCACCATTCCGAGCATGCAACAGTTGCCACATCTTGCCACAGGAAGGGTTAACTAACGCCCGAAGCCCTTTCCCTCCTTCCTCTTTTTCTCCCTGGCTGGCTGAACAAGAGGGAGAAAGAGGCCATGACAAGCCAAAGGCTCCTCCTCCTCCTCGGGAGTCCCTGCTTGGGCGTGATCTGGGCCTGGGTGTGTGTGTGGCTGAAATCAGATCAGACCTGAAGGGAGGAGGAGACCTCGTCCGCCAGCCCTGCTGTGGAATCCCTGCCTGAGCAAGAGGAGGGGACCCTTCAAGGCGCAAGGGCAGTGGAGGGCCGCTGGGATCTGGCAACCAGACGTGACCGGGCAGCCCAGAGGAGTAACCGGCCCGAGGTCGTGAAGAGTGAAACTGTTGCCTAACAAGGCCTCTCTCTTTGCCGTCGGCCCGGAAGAGCCTTGAAGTGAGATGGAGAATGCGGTCCAGACAGCGGCTGCTGCCCCCTTGCCTGGTGAAGCTGGGCCAGCCCCCTCGTGCCCCTTGGCAGGGAGGGTCAGCCCTGCCCTCCGGATCCCTTTCGCAAAGGGGCTCTCTCTTTCCCCAGCATCTGTCCAGAGGGGGTGGGGATGCTCTCACCATGGGAGTGGGGGTCTCTCGCCCACACGCCCAATCCCCCCCCCCCGGTTGGTGCCGATGTTATTTGGGATGCCCCTCCCATCCCCAATCTGTCCTTACAGCGCCTGCTATTTTGAGTGTGCTGTGAAGGTTTCTGTGGATAAATTAGGCAATGCCGCTCAGAGAGGAATGTGCCCAGCATTGGACCGGGGCCTGAGCAAAGAATAGTCGTGGATGTGTTGTAAAACTGGGCAGGGCAGGGCAGGACAGAGGGGAGAGGAGGTGGGAGCTGGAGCCTGCCAGGGAGGCCAGAGGCCTCGGTTCCAGTGGCCAGGATGGCGGCCAGGGGACAGGGCTCTGAGCATGTGCAGAGTGATCTTTCCTAACAAGCCCTTGCCGCTCCTCTGCACCAACACCAGACTTAGGTGGGGGAAAGGTTGGCCTTTCCCGGGGGGGGGGTGTCCTGCTTCTTTGCATCAGCCTCGGTCTGTGTGGGCACCTCCTTGAGCCTCCCCAGGAGGCTGTTGCGAGGAGCTGTTGCTTGTAAGATGCTCTCTGTGGGATTCAGCCGACCCGTGCCTTGGAATCTGGAGAGCTGGCTCCGAGATCCGCAAGTCGAGCTGGATGAACCGGCTGGTAGCCTGCCCCTGGGTGAGGTCATTTGGCAGCTGGCAGTTTGGGTGCCGGTGCTTGAAACAGCTTCTGTCTCTACCCCCTGGCATCCTGCTCCCCCCCCCTCCCTGGGCATCCTTTGCAAATGCCAGTTTCTTCTCTCTTGCTGACCTCTGCTCAAGGGAGGCCCGCCAGGTGGGTGGAGAAGCCCCTTCTGGCCCACCGCTGACTCCGTCACCCACCCGTCTGTGCTCTTTTGTCTGATGCTGCGCGTTGTCTTTTGCCCTTGCCGCCCTGCTGGTGACGGCAGCCTTTTCTCTGCCCAGACAGTAGTTCGCTTCCTGCCCCGGGACCCCCCCCCCCCCCCCCCCGACTGTGCTCACCTAGCCCTGCCCGGCGCACTTTCCCATCCTTCCTGTTAGCAGCATTGCCCACTTGTTACCCTCAGCGGGCAGGCAGATTAGGGCTTGTTGTGACTGGGGTCAGTGGGCATGCTGCCTGATGCCTGAGCACGGGCATCTGGGTGCCAAGTTATGTGCCGTCTGCTCTTGGCTGAACCTCCAAGCCTTGGCACCGTGCCCAAGGGAAAACAGAACACGGCTGGGTTGGCATCCCCTGATAAGCGGAGATGGTATCGTACCTCGTCTGCCTCAGGCCGGTGCCCGCAGCCACAAGGGCCCAGTCCTGCTCATGCTGTGGGCCTGTGGTCTTTTGTTGCCTTCGGAGCTGGTATGAAGGAGGGCAGGAAACACCTTAGCACTGCTGATGTCATCCGACCTTGGAGTTCAGGAAGTAGCAGGGAATGCTATGAATAGTCCCCTCCCTGGTTTTTAAGAGCAGGCAGTTGCTACCCACTCTGGTAGTCTTAAGGATCCGACGGTGCAGTCCATCCCAGGGTGCACTGCCGCTTCTCCTGCCTTCTGGTCCAGCTGGCACTGGTGGTCTGAGAAGGACTTTTTGTGCCG